ACTGCAGCGCCTGCATCACACTGCAGCATCCACATTTACACCACAGTACCCACATCCAAACTGCAGAGCCCACAGCCACACTGCAGTGCCTGCATCACACTGCAGCATCCACATTTACACCACAGTACTCACATCCATACCACAGACCCCATAACCACACTGCAGCGCCCACATCCACACTGCAGTGCCCATGTCCACACAATAGTACCCATGTCCACACTGTAGCACCCACATACACAGCACAGCATCCACATTTACACCACAGAACCCACATCCATACTGCAGAGCCTACAGCTACACTGCAGCACCCACGCATACACCACAGAGCCTGCATCACCCTGTGGTGCCCATGTCCACACCACAGAGCCTGCATCACATCATGGACCTGCATCCACATTGCAGAGCCCCTGTCCACACTATGGCACCCACATCCACACTGCAGAACCCATGTCCACATTGTGGAACCCATGCCTATACTGCAGAGCCCACGTCCACACAGTGGTGCCATGCCCATGCTGTAGAGCCCACATCCACACAGTGGTGCCATGCCCATGCTGTAGAGCTCACGTCCACACAGTGGCACCTGTGCCCACACTGCAGAGTGCCTACACCACATGGTGGTGCCCACACCCCACTGCAGAGCCCATATCCACACAGTGGTGCCACGCCCATGCTGTAGAGCCCACGTCCACACAGTGGCACCTGTGCCCACACTGCAGAGTGCCTACACCACATGGTGGTGCCCACACCTCACTGCAGCAGTGTTTTCCTTGCAATAACAAAATGTTGTGAGGATGTCCCCAATGCCTTTTCTTTTATCCTCCTTCTTCTACTCTGGGATGGGTAAGATGACATTTTGACCCACTTCTTTATTAAGTGCTTTGAAAACTACTGGGCATGTGTTAGGACTGTCAAGTCCAATTAATACATCAATAAGGAAGATATTATTTAACACCTATTGTTTGTCCAGCACTGGGCCAACTGTAGCAAGCAGGCTATGTGGAAGTTGTAATCTTTACATTGAATTTGAACTATTACTGGGGAGTAAATATTCATCGGTACAAAATAATTAAGAGACAAAAATGCTACAAGGTAGTGCACACAGCTGTATGCCATGGGTAACAGGCGCAGAAGGCATCAGCAAGTAACACAGACCAAGGGGCCACGGATGGTGCTAAGTGCAAACTCCACCCCATAATGCTTCACAGTCGTGCCCTTGACGCTCAGGTTTGGCAGGTGTTTCGGGTTTTAGAAGCAAGATGCTACATTTTTGGAGTGTTCTCTCACATCACAATGCCAGAACAGCAGCCTGTCTTCCCTGGGTGACAGTGAGGCAGGAATTATTATAACCCCCATCTCACAGATGAGGAAACCAAGGCAAAGGAAATCCAGGTAACTTGTTGCAGTCCTGAGGGTGAACCGAGCTGAGTTGTAGCCCTGGAGGGTGAGGGGGGTTCCCTACCTCAGCATCAAACCCCACTGCCTTTCCCATGGGGATTCATATGCCCCTTGTGATGGACAAGTGAGCAGGATATTTAAAATAGATTGCTTTTGTCTCCTTCCTGGGTGACATCCCACTGCAGTCTTAAGAGGTGTATGGAGCAGAAGCCACGTCTCTGCATCCTCCTCTCCAGCCGCCCCTCCTGCCCCTCCTGGTGTCTCAGAGCAGCTGCCCAGGGAAGGTCCTTCCCACTGAGTGTGTCAAACTGGCAACTGGTCACATTTTCTTTCCCCAAATCTCAGTTTACTTCAGTCATGACTCGTCCCCTCCGGCTCTCAGTCAGAACAATTTCTAACCTTATCAGAATCACTTTGTCGGCTTCTCTCATGCTGCTACTTACCGGCAAAAAGCACAGCTCTTCTCTCATTCTGAGGAGATGGGCCTGTTTCTATACTGCCCTGTGTATACCGCCATGGAGGCTGCACAGTGCTGGTCTCTCCCCACAAGAGGAGAGGCACAGTGTGCAGGCAGAGATCTTGAAAAAATAACCAGAACTTTCTTGTGAACAAAGGCAAAACTATGTAAAACTCCATTAATGCAAAAATGCAGGCCTAGTGCGGTGGCTCACGCCTATAATCCCAGCAGCACTTGGAGGCCAAGACAGGAGGACTGAGCTTGGGAGTTCCAGACCAGCCAGAGCAAGAACAAGACCCTGTCTGTACCAAAAATAGAAAAACTAGCTGAGCGTTGTGGTGGAAACCTATAGTCCCAGCTACTTAGGAGGCTGAGGCAGGAGGATCCCTTGAGCCCAGGAGTTTGAGGTTGCTATGAGCTATGATGCCATGGCACTCTGCCCAGGGCAACAGAGAGTCTGTCTCAAAAAAAAAGAAGGGAAGTTGGAGGATTGTAAACATGATAAACATTTTTTTTCCTTTTCTTCTGTGATGTAATAATTTATTTCCCCTTGACAATGCGAGTCTGATTCCAGTGTGGAATGCAGCCCTGTAAGCTGGACAGGCAGGTAGAGAACGCCCAGCACATGCGGCTGGTGGGGCAGCAGGGGGACGCTGGACAACAGTGGCTTCCCACACCCCATACAAGCCACCTCACATCACCAGGGGAAAGACAAGAAATGTTCTTGGTCCACACATTTTAGAACATAAATTATTCTTCTTGGAAACTATTGAACTACTTGGATTAGAAACTATTTGAACTATTTATGATTTGTATACAGGGAAAATTAAAGGAAAGAAATTAGGCTGCTAAATAACATTTTAAAAGAGTTTGTTACGCATTTTCAATTTGCTGATACCAGAATTTAGCAAGCAAATTCACACTGAACGGGCACCCAGTGTGCGTTCTTATCCCTCCTGTGCTTCAAATCTGGGGATGACTTCTGATTAATTTAAAGAGACTCAAACCATTTCAGAAATCTCTCCTCAGCCTGTGAGCAGGAGGGGCCTAGGTGCAGTGAACCCCCTGGAGGACCTAGGGCAGGTAGGCAGGGGGGCCAGGTGCCCCTGGGGGACCTTCCCAAGCTCCTGAGCATTTCTATTTACATCCTAACATTGATTTTCTCTTTGTAACCTGCCTACATGGCATCAGTTCTCTACTCCAATGTGCAAAATTAAAATCTGATAAGGGCAATGTCGTACTAGAGATTTTCATTAGCTCCAGGGCTGTCTAAGCTCCACTTAATTAAAAAGGTTGCATCCAGCTGACTCATTCAGTATGAAAATTATCTAGTCTGTCTTTTTCCCCCCCAAACTGTGAAGAAGTGCACTGTGTTTCAGAATGTGGGAAACACGTTAATGATATAAGTGGCCCCTTGTAAGCAAATGTCAATCCTTGAGAAACTGCACTGTCTCTGACACAGAATCGTATTTTACCCCTTCAGGCCACTCTAACAACACTAGCAAGGCTTCTAATTTCAAGGAATTTTTTTTGTCTTTTTTTTTTTTTAAATTAAATCATAGCTGTGCACATTAATGCAATCATGGGGTACAGTGTGGTGTTTTCGTATACAATCTCAAATATTTTCATCAAACTAGTTAACATAGCCTTCATGTCATTTTCTTACTTATTGTGTTAAGACGTTTATATCGTACTTTTAGAAAGATTCACTTGTACCCTTGTAATGGGATCATCTCTATAGTTTATCTCACAAGGAATTTTTTTAAAAAGGTACATACCTGCTTACCGGGGCTCCTGCCAAATGTTTGAAGGCTCTGTTACTAACACCCACTTTTTGTTAGAAAAGTGGGAGCTTCACCCTTTGCCTTCCTTAGCTTCATGTAGACTGGAAATTCAGGGTGAATCCCAGGAAGGCAAATCATGCCCCTTCTCTCACAGTCAGTTTGCACCAAAGACTTAAAAAATCAAATAATACTAGCCTGAAAATCCTGTTTCAAACAATGCTTCTTTCCTCAATTTTAGAGCTCTAAGTAAATTACGTGTGGCTTAGTAAAAAGGATTTGGAAGGTGAGTTAGAGTTAACAAAGATAACCCCATTTTGACAAGAAACAGTAAAGGCAGAATTGAGCTTAATGTCTCTCTGCCTCCCAGCTCTGCCGGGGAGCCACAGTGGCAGGGCAAGATAAAGAGATGTGTCTGGGGGACGGTCTCACCGTGGTCGGGTCCCTTCAGGGCCAGGCGGGTCTGGTGATGGGGGAGAATCTCCAGCTTGACCTGATCGGTGGTGTTGGCCAGGAACTGGGTCGCCTCGGCCAGCGTGCAGTGCTCCGTGCTGGTACCATCGATGGACAGGACGTGGTCCCCCACATGCAGGGCGCCACACCTGCAGAGAGGAGAGACACTCAGCGGACGGCCTGCTCCGGGCGCCGACTTCCCTGCCCTCCACAGTTAAACTTCACACAGTCGTTATGTGTGTTCAAGAAAAGTGAGAGGTTTGAATGTCGCAGGAAATACCATCTGTCACATTACGAACAGGAAATGTAAACCTTGCAGAAAACACAGAAAATGTCTAGAAAAATGCTCTTCTTCTTTTTCCTTCTTAAAGACACTCAGTTGGGGGTGTTGGTGCTGAAAGTTGAGGGCCAGTGAGCTAAAGGGGAGTGAAGGAGGGGAAATTTCCCCCCTTGCCTATTTCTGGGTTTTTTTGTTCGCTTGTTTGTTTGTTCTAGGCTTTTCTTCTCCATAAATGCGAGGGTGTAAATATTCAGAATTTCAAGATGCTGACTCACAGGAGTTCATTAGGTTCTCATCTAGTCTACACGTGGATGAGACTGACTTGGGGAGACTCCGTGAACAGGTCCTCAGAGCCTGTTCCACAGGCTCTGGAGAGCTAGACTTCCTTTACTGAACTTATTCTGTCATTCTGGAGTTGAACATTTATTAGTGCAAAGCTCTCGCTGATGATGGAAATTATGCAGGAGTGGGAGAATAAGATGAGGCCTGCGAGATGGGTCGGAGAAAGTGAGGGGCTGCTGCTGATCCCGCTGAACTCAGGAGATTGGCCCCAGGCTGGTGAAGGGTCACAGCCCTTAACCTGTCACCCCCATGGAGTGGGAAAAACAGGAAGAAAACCACAGTGTCCTGCACCCCTGAGGCAGAGAACATGCCTGGGTCAATGGCAGCCACTAGAAAGACTGGCTGCAGAGGGGACCTTGGCGGAGCAGGGACTGACCACTGCCGGGTCACTATAGGCCACGCATGTAGCTAGAGGCTTCCTGGGCAGAGCAAGGGGACATAGGGAAGGAACTGGAAACACATGGGGAGACAGGCATGTGAGGACAGGGTGTCTACGTTCCCAGTGTGAGTAGGCTGCTTCCCCAGACAAAGTGTTTCAAGGCACCCTTCCATCTAAATTTACAATCCCGTGTGGATGCACTCGGAGAGCCCCACCTATGGAAGACAGGGTTGGTATCAGGAGCTGTGAAACAGTTTTCCTTACAAGTCTAACATAATAATTAGGACCAAGAACTTTCATTTCTACTGTGGCCCAGAAATGAGTGATATGCCAAGAACCCCACACCGTGAAGGGTGTGAAGTCCTGTGATTCACATTATCACGACAGAATTAGCCTTTCTTTAAAGATCGCATAATTTAAAAAATCATTTTGTTTATTTAAAAAAAAAAGAATAGGCTCGGCGCCTGTGGCTCAGGCGGCTGAGGCGCCAGCCACATACACCTAAGGTGGCGGGTT